TCAAAATTGGGCCAGGCCCCATGGTTTTTCACCCTTTTCAAGGGTTTTGACATAAAAACTATGGTGTCTCTTATAAACGCTACACCCTCTCTATTATCTGCTTGTGTGCTGGATCTTCGTACAATGTTAAGACATTAAACAATATATTTCTCTACCGTCGTGAATACTCCATGACGCAAAAAAAACATTTCATAATTTTAGTGGTGAAAATTTAAGAAAAATCATGAAAAAAATTTATGGGATGTCCTAATTATACAATTTTATGTCAAGATGATCTTAAAAATACTTGAACTTGGATTAAGATTAGTACAATTTACTTTAAGATTAGTATCATAATAGTCACATTTGACTAGAAATATACTCCATCCAACACAACCATATGGCCTGTTTGTGACAATTGTGATGTTTTATAAAATTGATTGTAGGAAAGTAACTTATCTACTCATGTTAATAAAAGCTACTTTCCATCATATAAATTTATGAAAAATAATAAAAAAATGCTAGAAAGTAATAGTAAAATAAAATTATAATTATCATCTAAAAAGTATAACAACAAGAAAGCTTTCTCAAATAGTTCCTTAATGTATCACTTAATCTAGCATCTCATAAAAATCAATTGTGGGGTCATCACGCTCACACCCTTTTACATATACTCTACTAGTTATAGTATTTTTTATCAAATCTATAATCTTGAATATGAATTATAAAACCATTAGTATTATATGCAGTATTATTTTTAATTTCACACGAAGTCTAGTGTTTGCAGTTGATTAAAAATGAGGTCCATCCTTTGGGGGAAGGCTTTGGCTCGATGTAGTAAATATATATCATATAGAATGCATTACATGGTGGGAGTTGGAAGAATCAGTGATGACATGTTCGTTTGGTCGGCAGGATCATAGTTGGCAAAAGATATAGCATGGATGTAGTCGACGAGCGATGGAGGTTAGAAAGATCGTAGTCGGGCGACGATGTTTGGAAGGACAGTAGTCTTCAAGCGATTGCATTGGTGCTGAAAAAGATCGTATTCGAGTGACGATAGTCGGAAGGACCATAGTTATCAGGCGACATTTGTTGGGAAGACTGTAGTCAGCAGGTGACGGAGATCAGAAAGTCAGTATTTGGTGGGGGATGTAGGTTAGAAAGATTGTATTTGACAATGGTGGTCGAAAGGACCATGGCTGGAGGGTGATGTAGGTCGGAAAGACCGTAGTCAGGCGATGAGTGTTCAAGTTTGTTTATTTAAGAATCGAGTATTTAAAATATTGTTCAAGTTTGTTTGTTAGCTAATTAAACGATCACAAACGAGCTTTAATCAAACCGAACAACGAGTAGCTCATCGAACGTTTGGTTCGCTTGCAACCCTAACCGTAGTTGGGCAATGGTGATGGGAATGAATATAGTCGGAGGGCAATAATGATTAGAAAGATCATTGTCTAACGACGAAGGTTGTAAAGACTGTAGTCGGCGATGTTGGTCAGAAAGGCCATAGCTGGCGACGATCGATGGCCTGGCGGTAGTCTCAAACCAAAAATTTCAAACTACAAAAGGTGATTAACTTGAGTCTTAAACAAAAAATCTAGCTAAATATCAAACTAGAAAAGGAAAAAAAAAATCAAGCTAAATATCAAAATACCTATCCTCAAAGGGATGGGTTACTTAATACTCCAAAATGATAGTCATACATCATTATAAAAAGTTTATCATAAACATAAAGAAAATATTGTCTTGATAATTAGAATAAAATATAACCATACAAAGAAAAACATCATAAGAATCAGTTTAGTTATAATGGTGGTCATCATCTATGATGTCTTCGATCAACGATCAAAATATATCGCATCATAGATTTCGACCTCACAAGTACTCGTGGTGACAAAAAAAGTCTTAATGAATAAATTAACAAAAAAAAAAAAAAAAAGGAGAAGGTTCTTCATTTCTTATTTATGGTAACTATAAAAATGTCTTAATATTATTTTACATTAGAAAGTTCATACCCTTGAGATAAATATTTCAACACAAATGGTTCACAAAATGATGACTTACAAAGCTTGTAAGAGTTCAATAAGGCTAACTATTTTAGGATGACCTACATAATAATGAGTGGATATTGGCACAAACAAAGGGAACTGACGAGTCACTCAAGTCAAGTTAAGCTTTTCTTGCCCCTGACAATTGCTTCTCTCCAAGTTGCGGAGAAGGGAGATGGACGAATCACAAAGGACAGGAAGAGCTAGAGCATGAATGTGGCACGTATAGCTGAATCGCGGTATAATACCAGGAAATTATAGCTCCGAAAAGCATTTATTTGATGGGTTATAACGACGGTTTTAACCTCCTTTATTAAAGCCAATTTAAATCGTGGGTATTAGCAACGATTTAAACCAGTGCTAATAAGAACAGTTTAAATCGGTGTTGAAAGGATTCTAGGGCGGTACTTTTTGAACCACCACTAATATATTTTGCATAAATTTTTAATTTTTAGTTGTGAGTTATCCGAAAAATACCCTAATGCATTTGTTAATGAAATGATATAGAATATAGAGATGCATGATAATGATATTTTAATTATATAATTATAATGGAATGAACTTAGTTTTTTAGAATTATGTAAAAGAAAAATCGATCCAAATCAAATCTCAACATATAGAATAAATGAAAAATGGATGACATTATAAGCATCATGTATGCATGTACCAATCATTATAATTTCACATCATTTAATTAGATATAAGAAATGGTTAGTAGATAAGGATCGAGTATTAACTGAGAAGGTAATGAAAGAGATTTATTTATCCTTGAATTATTTGGTCCATTATTAAGTTGCACATATGTTACAATAGAGATATGTTGGCAGATAATGACATCCCAACCATTGCCAGAACAAGGCAGCGAAAGCTACCGCTACATGAAAAGCTATAGCTGTACAATGTGGAGACTCAGGCTTCGTTTGGGGCGGCTTTTTTATTGCTTCTTAAAACAATTTTTCAGTTTAAAAATTAAAATTTTTATACTAGAAAGCTGCTTTAAGAGGCAGTAAGAAAGCCGTCCCAAACGAAGCCTCAGTGTACCAGAGGTTAGTTTTTTTTGGGACAGTTGAGGGATTCGAGCCCGAATGAGATGGGAGGAATTTCTTCCATCGACCACTCGACCGCATATCCAATCTCACCAGAGATTAGTTAATCTCATGACAAGCTAACTGCATTGTTTTAGATTTAAATATTCTTTGCTTAGCTCTGTGAATTGATTCCTAGAAACTTCTAAGCAAATTAGCCAGTTTACTAATCCTAAACCATAAATCTTAATTTGGTTTTCGCAATTTTATAATTCACATTTTAAAAGAAAATTTGTTTGTAGCTTTTTATTCAACTAAGGAAGAAAAATATGATTATAAATTCTATTTGATTAATTTTTTAAAATAATAATTAGTGCTACTGTTCAAAATTATTTTAAGCTATATACATTTAAAATATAAAAAAAATGCTTTGATTAGCTCTGTAATTTATTTATTAGAATAAAATAAAACAGAGTAATTAGTTAATTACTTTATAACCTAAAAGAAAACAAAACTATTTTGTTTTAGGTTTAGTTTTTATTCAACCTGCAGACCATAGATATATAGATGAATAATCTTCTTCCAATATAAACAGTATATTGACAAATGAAAAAGAATTTCAAAATTTAATAATATATCATACTCTCTCTCTCTCTATTCTTCTATTCAATCATGTGACATAAATCATTACTTTTTTTTTTACTTTATAATCGTAATATTACTTTTATTTGTCATATATATTAAGATTGTCGGCATTATTTTATGGATGAGTTAATATTATTTATATCAAACTTTAATTATATAATTTAATTTTGTTGATAGGGCCACAAATTGGCCCACCTATTGTGCAAGCAGAATATTTCACCTAATAGATTTAGGGTAGCTCACGGGCTGGACTATAGCACACCCTTATATATATAGTTGATTGATTGTGCTGAGAATAATTTCATTTTTGTTATGCTAATCCTAATAATTAAAGCTAATTAAACAGTGTTAGATCTTGTGGGCAATTCAAATATCCAATGCCTAGCCTAGCTGGATGACAAGCAACTGGCAGAGATTCTTAATTAAACGCCTACAAACTCACCTACTGCTACAGGCATAAGACAAAAGATTGATAAGTACCCACTAAATGGTCCCAATGGCTTTGCCGCCAGCCAGGTTTCCTTCTATATCTGTGTTACTTAGTATACATATCTTTTTACCATTTTTGGAAGCAAGTATGAACATCCGTTTAAATCAATTACAGTATGATTAACAGGGCCTTCATACAGTCTTTTTCTACGCAACTCAAATTGATATGTTGGTTATGAGCTTTAACTATTAACCAACATGTCTTAGGTTCGAGTTTTACATATGTGATCTGTGTGTGAGTTTATCTTAATTGACCTAAATGTCACTAAAAAAATACGTCATTTTTCTAGTATGTAATAACTTCATTAAGAGATTTATACACCTTTAATTAAGTTCGATATACATAAATTGATATTCAATCTAAGGCATAAAAACAATGGTTAACATTAATATATTAATCAAAAGCTAATACATATATATAATACATGTTTCTAAAATATTCATAATGCATATATGAATGTCTATGTTTGTACATATATTTCAATGATAAAAATTTTATTTTTATATTTACATAAAACAAAAATTCAAGAAGATTGTACTATTTGATATGGTAACTAAATTTTACTTATTAAATTTGAATAACAGATCTTAAACATCATATTAATTTATTGAAAAATATTTCAATATTATTCTCTCACATAATTTCACTTTCAAATCTTCCCTAATATTTTCTTACTCCTATCCTAAACAACCCAACACAAACTTTATTTCAATAGAAATTCTAAATGAACAATATATTTTCCTTAATTTAGGATGATGGAAGCTCCAACATTCATATGTCAGATCAGAAAGTTTGAATGCCACAACATAATTAGTAGAATTTTGAAAGAGAGCATTCTATCGGTAGATGTCCTCGAAACCTTTGTGGATCATTACAATAGTCATATATTAGATAATATTTTCTCACCCATCTGAACATTCCCCTTTGGCTGGGTGTCAAGCCACTGAAGTTGGGCTTGTTCCACCAATTCTTGTTGCTTTCTACCCTACATAACCTTCGATTTCCTTTCCAAACACATGCGTCAATCTTATAGTTCCTAAAATAGGCTATAAAGGGCCCTTTTGACCAATCAATTTTATCTAGACCTCCTCTTGTTGCCCAGCTGTCGCCGTTCCATAGGCTGATCCTAAGGGACATTGGTCGGCTGCTCGGAAAAGCAGCACCTTTGTCTTCATGATTTCTGTAAATCCTTATTGGCACCCAATCCACCATGAACCTACAATCAAAAGAAGTTAGTATTTTTTAAATTCTTATTGAAATGTTATAAAGTTCAAATTGGCATATTACATACACAATTTGTTGAGCGTTCCAAAGAATTGTGTATGTGTGGAATTCTTCAGTTGGATCAAACCAAAGAGAAATTCTTTCTTCCCTGTTATCATATCCATCAACATACAAATTTGTTTGCAATGTGTATGGCTGCCCCGTTTCATTACCCAGAAATTCAAAGTCAATTTCGTCGCGATTTGGTTGATCAGAACTTAGCTGCAAACAAATTTTAAGCAAACATCATAGTAGTAAGGAAATATATATTGAATATGTTTTTTTCTTAGAGAAACCAATTTCACTAACATAATAGGCTAATACTGTGCCGGCTGAATATCCTGATATCAATTTAATCTGCATATCAATCTGCCCGAACAAGAACATATTTCTTGAAGTAAAAGCCGCGCCTTCAACGAGTGTAAGAATGATGAGCAAGGCAATGTTTGTAGTTGATTAATTAAATATCATAATTAAGATTTGTAATGTGAAGAATACCAGATTCTTGATCTAGTTTTAAGCTTCTAGAATGTCCATCAGCAGATGTATTCACATGGCTTTGAGACCACGTAATGGAGAAATCGTCGTTGAAATCACCTGTGGAGACAACAGAGGCATACGAAGATCTGATAACATTTATGAGAGAAAATCCCAGCATTACGAAGTCTCCAAATCTTCGGGCCATTGTGACAGATTCAACATGGATTAAGAAGAGAAGATCTATGTCAATTTATAAGAGTAAAGTTAAGCCTCAAAGCGTTTAGAAAATTTATCAAAATGGTTTGCATGTGAAGCAAGGATGTCTTCAGATTGGAGCAAAGGAATATTTGCCTTGCATGGATATTGGTATTGCTAATTGACGGTGGAAGCTTATTTTTCATGTATTGAAGAAGGCAAGTGCAATTTGTGGACAACTGACCTGAAGACCAATTCTTTTTTTCTAATTACATAATTAAATTCTATGCTGCTTCGGAATTACAATTTCAAAAAGCAAGATGTTAGCTTAGGAATCACATACTAGACTTCTTAGATGTTAGCCTAACAGAGAAGAATCAAGTCGCTCATTTTTTCTTTATAATTAAGGCTTTTTTGGGATAGACTTTGGCCACTGTTTTCTTATGATTTTGAACAAATATTTAGACTAAAAAGTTGTTTTAAAAACAGTAAGAAAATTATTTCAAACGAAGCTTAATTCTTTTTCATGTGAAGGAATTACATATTTAAATTAAATTCAAATAATTTAATGTGACGAAGCAAAAATTTTAAAATGCATTCATATTCATAGAACATGTGCTTCATAAGTTTGGATTTTTCAAGATTTACATGGATATTTCCCATGAAACATAAATCCAAAGTTACTAATATATTTATTAACTTCAAAAATTACATTGAGAAATTCACCTCTCATCAGATAAAATGTCTTCGTACTGATGGGGGCACTGAATATATAAATCATCAACTCACTCAATTTCTTAACGATCATGGCATCTCACATCAAATCTCATGTCCCTATATGCCAGAACAAAATGGCAAGGCATAGCAAAAGCACAAACATATTATCGAAACAACAAGAACTTTGCTTCTCATTGTATCCGTCCCTCCTAATTTTTGGTCTGATGGTGTCCTAACATCGGTTTACCTCATAAATAGAATGCCTTCATCGACCACAAACAACATTTCCCCATTTGAAATACTCTACAAACGAAAACCTGATTACAATCACCTTTGCACATTTGACTATGAGTTCTTTCCGTTAATTCCATCTCATCTTCGCCACAAATTGCAACCGAAAGCAAAATCATGTGTCTTCCTTGGGTACTCAGACACATATACATGTTACAAATGCCTTAATATTGAAGCAAACAAAATATTTATGTCAAGGCAAACCACGTTCGATGAATAGACATTTTCATTCTCAAAGCAGGAACTCTTAGCTAATACCTCTGCTAATATCATATCTCCATTTATTCTCACACCCATTTTTACAAATTTTTAAAACAACTCAACACAAAATCAGCAAGTGGTTCACCCTCCACAGGTACCGACCACTGTTGAATATGTTTTTGTGGTAACATCTAATCAAATTCCTAAGGAACCTCACACAAAACATCAGCATCCCCCCTCGACAGTTGCCCAAAACACCTGCTCTCAACACCAAATGGTAACTTGACGAAAAACAGGATCACTAGAACCGAGGGTCAAATTAAATCTTATTCACCAGCAATTGTCTCCAGCACCTACTTTGGATCCTACCACATATATATGATGAGGCATTCAAAACCATTGAGTGGTGAAAAGCTATGACAGCTAAATTTGTTATCTTACAAAGGCAAGGAACCTAGACACTGGTTCAACCCCCACCAGATGCATCTATTCTTGGCTGTAAGTGGACATCCATAACTAAATATCATTCAGACGAATATATCGCCAGATACAAAGCATGGCTAGTAGCTCAGGGAAACCATCAATAATATGATATATATTACATCGAAACAGTCAACCTCGTAGCAAAGCTACCAACTATTAGAATTTTATTAATTGTGGCTTCACAGAATGACTTGTCAGTTCAACAACTGGATGTAGCCAACACATTCCTTCATAGAAATCTTTCGGAAATAGCCTATATGGTCCAACATAAGGGAATCGATGATTGAACTCATCCAAATCACATTTGTCTGCTTAATAAAGCTATCCACGGGCTCAAGCAGGATCCTACATGGTCTCTCTTGGCTTCGAGCACAACAAATCGGATCCATCCCTATTAATGTTAAAGTAGAAGCAAGCCAATATATTTATGATGATATTCTAATAAGAGGGGACAATCAAAAAACCATAAAGAAGCTCCTTGATCAGCAAACGTCAAGTTCGCCATGAAACACTTAGGAGAGGCACACTCATTTTTTGGCATCCAAATAAAATGTCAGGATTAACAATATCTTCTATCCACTAAGATTTTTGTCCATCGATCGACACCAGGATCTGTCCGATCCAACCAGCCATGAGCTCCCGATCTCCCAGCCCACTGGCAGCAAGCCACCGTTCACTTCCTTTATCTATGTTCGAACGTCTTCGGAGCTCGGCTCTCTCCCTATAGTCAAATCCAACGGCTTTCTCTACCTCACTACCTGTGAGAGAAGCAGAGCTTCTTGAAACGAAATAGAGAGACAGCTGAAGATTTGCGTATTAGGAAAATAGAAAATGAAAATCTTATTATTGAAACAGTGTACATCCGTATTTATAGAAGTTAAGGCAAGAGTAAAAACGTAATATTATGTTTACACATAAGTAAATATAGAGATGCTCTGTCAGCCTCCCTCAAGTGAAGCATTCATTTGATTGAATGGTTAACTTGTGTCTGAGCTCGTTGAATCGAGATACCGAAAGTGGCTTGGTTAAGATATCTGCGATCTGGTGTTGAGACGGTATGTGCTGAATGTGAACATCGTCGGATGTTATGTGTTATCTGATAAATTGATAATCAATCTCTATATACTTTGTCCGAGCATGAAAAACTGGGATTTTGGCAATGGAGATAGCTGAGATGTTGTCACAGTGTACCTGAGTAGGAAGTTTCTGCTCAATTTGAAGTTCCGCAGCGAGACGCCTTAGCCAAAGGACCTCCGAAATGTCGGCGGAGAGTGATCGGTACTCAGCTTCCGTGGATGATTTTGCTATGGTAACTGAAGAAGTTGAATCTTGACCCCCCATCAGGCTCTGATACCATGTGAGAGAAGCAGAGCTTCTTGAAACGAAATAGAGAGACAACAGAAGATTTGCGTATTAGGAAAATAGAAAATGAAAATCTTATTATTGAAACAGTGTACATCGATATTTATAGAAGTTAAGGCAAGAGTAAAAACGTAATATTATATTTACACATAAGTAAATATAGAGATGCTCTGTCACTACCCTTCGTGCAACTTCAAGTATAGCAGCCAAGCCCAAACCTTCAATAAAGTCCTCCAATTATTCCAGCCTATCATCTCAAAAGCCCACGACTCAAGCCCACTCTCCATCTCAACAAAACAGCCCGTCCCTAAAATAAACTGTACCCTATCCAACCTTAAAAATCAGCTCCAATCATTTCATCCAACCCAAATCTACCTTGCATACTTCAACATTGGCCCAAACTATTTAAAACCAGCCCACTTAAAACTAACCCCAAAGGCACAATTCTCTCACATTTGACTCAGCAGAAACATTAGATATATTCTCCATGAGTTCTCTTATTGTATTATGATTAGTTAGTTAGTATCAATTAATTGTACTAATAATGATAATCATTATTATTGATTATTATTATTTTTATTTATAATAATAATAATAATAATTTTTATTATAGATTATCACTCTCGTGAGTAGTAGCTTTATATAAAAAAAGAAAGAAAAAAGATTTGTTAGAAAATTATATATATATAATGCATTCATTCATGCATTTTTTTATGAGTTCTCTTATTACTAATTGTACTAATAATGGCAATTATTATTGTCATTAACAACAACAACAATAATAATAATAATAATCGGAATTGGCCCATACTTCAACTTGACGTTTCCAACGCATTCTTACATAGCGATCTTCTGGATGACATATATATGCGCCAACCACCAGGCTTTGTGGATCTGAAACTCCCAAACCATGTTTGCAAATTGAACAAATCCACGTATGGCCTCAAATAGGCTCCACGATAATGGTTTCAGAAACTCACCAGCTTCCTTCAATTGCGCGGATTCAGGTTCAGTCGTTCCGACCCTTCACTCCTTAAGCAAAATAATATTCAAATTTACGTGCTAATCTATGTCGATGATATTCTTGTCACAGGGAATGATCAACTTGCTATTCAACACCTACTCGAACACTTTCGCACTCAATTCACTCTCAAACAACTTGGGCAAATTTCTCTCTTCCTCGGCATCCAAGTCCTTCAAACCTCTATTGGTTACTTTCTCACTCAAAAACACTACACAACAAAAATTATTCATAATGCAAGCTTCGACGACTGCAAGCCGGCATCAACACCGGTCACTCCAAAGTCCAACAATAAGGCTAACAATACTCAACTATTCTCCGATCCCACCCTATACCGCCGCCTAGCAGGCTCTCTTCAATATCTGTCCATAGCTAGGCCCGACATCGCATTTGCTACCAACCTTATCTGTCAACATATGCAGCATCCTACTATGCAAGATTTTCACTATCTCAAATGTCTTATCCGCTACATTAAAGGCACCAAGTCTTTATGCTTGCCCATAACTATTGGTGAACAAATACTACGTACAGACACAGACGCTGATTGGGTATCCGACGCCACAGACCGGAAGTCAATCTCCGGGTTTTGCACCTTCTTAGGCCCAAATTTCATCTCCTGATCCGTCAAGAAACATGTTACGGTGGTCAAGTCATCCACCGAAGCCGAATATCGATCCCTATCTGCAGCCACATCGGACGTGATATGGCTCCGTTGTCTTGCTGCCAAACTAGCTAGGCATCGAGCAAACTATACCAACTACGATCTATTGTGACAACAGCTCGGCTATTGCTTTGGCCAAGAACCCCATCTTCCACGCATGAACCAAACACATTGAGATAGATTATGAATTCATTCGTCAGCACATCGGCTCTGGCAACATCTCGCTAGTTCACATCCCATCCAAGGATAAAATTGCGAATATTCTGACAAAGCC